CTCTCTCCTCTCTCTTTCTCCTCTTCTCCCTGTCCCTCTCTCTTCTTTCTGTCTCCTCCTCTCCCTGTCCCTCTCTCCTCCTCTGTCTCCGGACAGTGTGTGCTGTTCACTGGAGTTGTGCGTTCCCAGGGTTTGCTGCAGTGTCGGAGAGCCCTGCCAGCACACACACAAATACAGAAACAGAAAAGACAGGCAGAACTGCAAGGTAATTCTGTATCCACAGAGCGAGAGAGGGAGAGGGAGAGGGAGAGGGAGAGAGAGAGAGGAGGAGGAGGAGGAGGGAGGGGGGTTTGAGCAAGCGAGCAGATGAAAAGAGAGAGAGAGATACGCTGTCCGGAACAGCAGGAGAAATTGAGGCTGGTGGAAATTTGGTCTCTGTTGCTTCAGCCTCAGCGTCCTGAATTCCTCTCCACACGGACACAGCTGATCCCACTACCTGCTCCGGCACCTTGCCTTCCGGACTGCTCGGATTGAAGACACGGTGCACTTACAGCACACAGGCGTCTGCTGGCGGCACCACTGTCGTTAGTAATTGAAACACAGCTTCAGGAGGTGCTGGGTCTCTCTTTTCAGCCTTGTTCTCCTCTTGCTCTGCCGATTTGAAGATTAACCCATATTTTGCTGCTGTTAATGATGGGGTATCTCGTGTCGCTGGTACCCGGGCTGCCTTCCTGAGACACCCACCTGGCTGGAGATCTGAAAGTTTTTTTTTTAACGACAAGCAGAGGCAGCAGGAGGGAGATTGCTATGCCGAGATTGCTGAGGACTAATTAAGCGAGAGAAGGTGGGCTTCCCGTTCCCGTCGGCAACGCTTCTATCGGGATCGGAGAGGCCACTGCACAGCGCAGCCCGATCCCGCCCAGGTCCGGCTCCGGCTGTTCTGCAGGGACCTGCTTTCTGGACTCGGCGGCTCTTCTCTCTGGGAGCAGCGTGGAGGACCCGGAAAAGCGAGCCTGATTTATTCCCCCACCTCCATCCCCGGATCCCTCCGCTTGTTCCAGCTGCTGGCCTGGTCGCCCTCGGAGCCCGGTCGGGTCCCGTTAGCGAACTGCTCCTCGTGTCATTGTGTGGCGTGTTCAGCCCAGGTCGTGAGCAAGCCCACCTGCCTCCTGCCTCCTGCCTCCTGCCTCCTGCCTCTGTGTGTGTGTGTGTGTGTGTGTGTGTGTGTGTGTGTGTGTGTGTGCACGCGCTGTGTTGAAAATGAAAGAGGCTGTGATTTATCTGTAAGCCGAGGGGGGAGACACAGGGAGAGGTGCAGCCGAGCTCACAGTCTGCTCCAGGTTCGTGCTGCACAGGTCTGTGTTTACCGGGAAGCTGTGTGGCCATCTGACCGTCTGACACACAGACAGGGGTCCTAGGGCTCGTGCCAGGCTCCTGTGCTCGGTGAGTAAAGAGCATTTGTGATTTGGTCGAGATGTCCGGGCTGCCTTAAGCGCGTGGTTGAATTCAGCTGCAACCAGGCCATTTTGTTATCCTTCGTGCATTTCGTGTCATATTGTCTGAAGGCTCCTCGTGCTTTAAAATAGAATTAGGTAACCTCTTGGCAGGCGTTTAAAAAAGGATTAGAGAGAATCATCACACAGCCCTGTGGCTTCCAGCGGGAAAGTGCTTACATTGGTTTCCTCCTCTACCGGTCTGGCGTTTTTATTTCATGCTCAGCTGACAGATAAGGCATAAAGCAGCAGATTTGAAAAGAAACAGAAATCCTGCGTTTTTTTTTTTCCTTCAGGAGGAACAGATGCTGAAGTTGCTGTAATCTGGGGCTCTCTGATACTGCAGCAAGAGAGAGAGAGAGAGCACCACCTTGTTGGAGCACTGGGATTATGAGATGAATATTAGATTAATATTAAAGGCTTATATTCACCAGCTTTGACCGATAAAGACACACACACACACAGACAGGGAGATCTGGCTGTCAGGCAGAGACACAGTCATCTTAAGTAAGTTGCTTTCATGGTCAGTTACTTGTTGAATGCCTTTTTTCAAGAAATGCATTGAAGGAGAGAGACAGGATAATACAGCAACACTGTAAGATAGGTGTTGGAATGAAAAAATGTAAATATACATGTAATTTTATCTATTAACTTATTTTTCCTTAAGTGTTTCAGTATTTGCTCTCACCTGTTCATTAGGACTGTAAGAGCCTGCTCTTTGTCAACAGCTCAGCAGTTCTGATTGAACTGGAGAGACTGGAGTGAAGATGGCTTTCACCTTTAGTCGGCATAGACACAGCATTTAAATCCAGTCCTGCCTGGCCACTTTGCTATGATCTATTGATCCCTTATTGATTTTGCCATTGGTCAGAAAGAACAATCCCAGGTGGTATCTGTGTCAGGATCTTTTATTAAGACATTAGCCTGCGGGAGGTAATACAATTAAATTCAATTACAGACAACAAATACCTTGACATTTCAGTAGGTAACCAGGAAAGAGACAGAGGGGAGTAGATTTAGGGGGAGACAACGTTTAAAACAACGACCCGAGAGAGAAGACTAGGAGAAGGAGCATCGCAGTGTTACAGGACATGCCCTGTGGCCATCTGGCACACGGTGGCTGGGAGGGGCCATGAGGACTGGCCACCAGCGTTGTCTCTTGTGCTTCCTCTCTGGAAGGGGACAGGACTGATTTCTCAGCTCAGGGAGCCACTACAAGAGCCGCAGACAATTGCACAGACAGTTCCAGGCCTCCCCAGGCACTGATGTGTATCTTCTACTGATGTGCGTTTAAGCCCGTTGAAGGCCTGCTGTGGCCTGTGCAGCTCTGAGAGCCGTGGATGCTCCAGGCTTGTAGCTGTGGCTTCAGCACCCCAGGGGAGGTTGGGCTGAGGGCTGTGATCCCTCTGTGCACCGCAGAGCTTCAGAACGTCCTGCACAGCTAAGCGACTGGCTCCCACAGCCCAGGGGAGGACCGGCGCTCGGGGCTGGGGTGAGACCTCCGAGGAGCATCTCTCTAGCGCCGGGCTCGCTTCGCTGTCCTCTCGGGCCCGCTCAGAGCCTGCCGGTCGGCGAGCTGGTCAGTCTGCACCGGCTGCACTACCTGCTGTGGTCTCCTGGTTTACTCTCCCGGCCTGTCTGCCCACCTGTCCAGCAGTCAAGGCCTGGGACCCGGCGGAGAGACACCCCCGTGGAAAATGCTGCGTGGCTTAAACAAGTCCACCGATGAGCCTGGCAGTTTCATGTTAAATGAGTTGAAGAGGCTCAAGAGAGAGGCCCTGTAGAGAGAGAGAGAGAGAGAGAGAGAGAGAGAGAGAGAGAGGCGGAGGCCAGGACAGATCCTGAGCCAGAGAGTGCTCACAGGTAGAGCTTCAAGCCCGAGGCGGTCCAGGACTGAGCTGGGGGGGAGGGGGGCGTGTCGATGGAGTGTCCGGTCCTCTCCTGTCCCCCTGGGTGAATCCATCGGCACTGCAGGGACAGCTTGACTCCCTCTGCTCTCCCTTCGGATCCTTCCTCCCAGTCGTTCTCTGCCAGGCCCCACCTCGCCAGCCATGGAGCTCCCCAACACCTAACAGCTGGGAGAAGTTCACTTCAGACTTGTTTGAATATATATGTATATGTATATATAGTGCATATATATACATATACATATATCGCCAGCATCGTTTTTCATACAAAACTGCTCTAGAGCTGGAAAAACCCAGCAAATCTTGAACCCTGCCATTACAGTTCGGGGGTGGCTCCCTGGAGCATCAGAAACTGTCCCATTTTGAAAAGCTAAGCAAGAGCGATCGGGAGCTGGAACAAGTGAGAGACGGCTCTTTGCTCTGGATTATTGAAACAATTCTTCGGGCTCCTGGATTAAACATTCCCCCTGCACACCTCGCTCCAGGAATCGAGTTCTGGTTCTGATCCAGGATACCAGCTGGAGAGGATTTATAGTGGATTCTATTCTATCTTGGATTCCTGCTTCGACCTCATCTGAAGGCCAAGGCGGGACGGAGACTGTGGGATTACAGTGGGTCCGGGTTGAGCTGAGCCGAGCCGAGCCGAGCCGGGCTGCGACGGGCTGCTGGGGCTGACTGTGCAGCTCTACCACCATGGGTTGTAACATGTGTGTGGTCCAGAAGCCAGAGGAACAGTACCGGGTCATGTTCCAGGTCAGTGCGGCTTCTCTCTGCCTTGTCCCGGCCTGCACGGGCCCGTGTCTCTGTCTGTGTGACTTTGCATGTTCCCAGTCTTCCTGTCTGTGTCTGTCTCCAGGACGTTGGTGCCTGTCCCTCCCCCTTTCCTGTCTCCTTATAGCCGCGATCTGCCCTGGATTCTCACGTGTCTTTTGTGTCCTGTTGCCCTCGTCGGTGTGTGTGCAGCACGCTGTACCTGTATGTCTACTGGGTTTAAGGTTCTCCCCTTGTGTGTGGCTGCACTGGTCCACTGCCCCAGATGAACAGGCCCACTGTGCTGCCCTCTGGGGGATGTCAGCTTCTCAGGGCGGTGAAGACTGACTAAGGGAACCTTAGTATATAGTATAGCAGTAATTGAATCGTCACAGTTTGGGGCACAGTGACAGGTACACACACACTGTGTTTCCATGGCAATCGTCCCCTTGGTGGCGTGTGCAGACTGACCTTTCGACCCGGCTGGGGGGGAGCTGGTGGCCTGAGATCACTCGTAATTATTTTATTGTGTGTGGAGTGGGGGTGGGGGTGGGGGGGGGGGTCAGGTGTACAGAGAGGGAGCAGAGGCAGGCAGGCTGGGACAGGATCCCCAGGCACTGCTATCGGACAGGCCTGGGGGGTCTGTCCCTGTGTAGGTCCTCGCGCCCCCCCACCTCTCACACTCTTCGGACGCAGGGCGAGAATGTAGCCTTAGTGGAATGAGACTAAGAGACTAAGAGACTAAGAGACTAAGAGACTAAGAGACTAAGAGACTAAGACTAAGACTCAGAGACTAAGACTCAGAGACTAAGACTCAGAGACTAAGACTCAGAGACTAAGACTAAGAGACTAAGACTAAGACTAAGAATTACAATTCACAATTACAATGTGAATAAGAATTGATTTTCTCTATTGTATTTAGTATAATTTGAATTATATACTTGTGCTCCGTGTGTCGGGCAGGGCAACGCTCCCACTGCAGCTGCAGAAGCTCCTGCAGGAGGCGATGTTCACGCTGGGGAGCGCGGGGGTGGTGTCGGGGGGGGCACGGACACACCTGGACCAAGTGACTGCACCCGGAGTAGGCTGCTGTGCAATAGCTCAAACCACAACACAGCCCCCCCAACTCCCACCTTAAAATGCAGACCGAGTTGTATATTCGATGTTGCTATTCAATTTTATGCACTGCCTTAGCATGGGGGAGGGGGCTGCTACTGGCGATAAGGGAGCTGTGTGCCGGGCACATCCCAGCGCCCCTCCAGCGCGGACAGCGCGGGCTTGGAGGGGCCCCTGTGTGCAGGAATGTGCCGTGTGCCCAGGGACCCGGGCCGCAGGGGGCTGGGGGGGCTGACCTTATCTCTCACTTCATCATTTCGACGACCCCCGACCCCACGGTGGGGTGCGGGCCACAGGGGGTTGCCATGGCTACAGGTTAGCCGTGCAGCGGCGAGGGGAGAGAGGGGGGCCGCGTGTCAGAGCTGTAATTGGGATTTTATATAGAGACAGCCCCAGGATTACAGACAGGTGGGGGGTGGGTTGTGCGTTTTTCTGCTGTTTGCCTTTTGATGACGGGAGTAATTGATTTTAGCGGTTCGCGGAGCAGGAGAGCCAGGCTGAATGGTGAAGGATGAGTGGCTGTGAAAAATAAGTGAGAGAGAGAGAGTGGGAGAGAAAGAAGAACGGAGATCGCCTCATTGTTGTATTGTGGAGGTCACCCCACGTTTCCGCTCCGGTGGAGGAGCTGTGCGTGGTCACGAGGCGACTGTGCCCGCTGTCTGAGAGAAAGGACTGTCTGTCTGCCAGGGGAGCTGAGCCTCCTCCTCCATGGAGGAGCTGCAGACACGTCGGAACACATCGCGGGACCCCTGGGGAGCTCGGCACTTCGGAAACAGACCCCCAGCTGGAGGACGGAAGCAGCCGGCTGCTTGTAATTCACTGTCTCTCTCAGCATTCCCTGCGGAAGGTCCACCCTAGCTGTGGGCTTGCGGCTCATTGTGCATCCAGAAGCACCTCGCTCCGAAAAAACCCCAGAGATCAATCCTCTGATCAGGCCGGTCGCCAGGAGGTGGGATAGATCCGAGTGCACACTGTATGTCAGCACTTGAACCAATCAGGAGTCCCTTCAGACCAGAACAAAGTACAGCCAATATACTCCACACCAAGGCCCTTCCTGCGGTATACACTCGGTTGTGTCGAGGAACACGCCAGAACAGCTGCAGTCTTACACTGCGGGCCAGCGTACCTCCTTGACCTCTCTCCCAGCTGGCCAGCAGACGTGACAGAGTGTGACTGGGCCCCTGCCAGTGTCCAGCGCCGGGGCCCCACCCTGACCGGCCAGGCTCTCACACACAGTGGCGGGAGGTCTGCAGCACAATGAGTCAAACGTGTCAGTGAGCTTGCCCTGCCTTCCTTTTGCGTTCAGCAAAGACCAAGGCTTCTATAGTCCACCGCAGGCTGATCCCCTCGCAGTGCTGATACTTGTATACCCATTCCATACAGCCCGAAAAGAGAATTTGTCAAAGC